CAGCCTTATTCCGGCGACACTAATAATTATTGGTTATTCATTTTGTAATAAATTATGCTCAATGATATTAATCCGATCGTTCTTCCCTTTTTCTCTGTACGGTATTTGTAATGTACTATTTAGATGATTCGTTGACTAACATATGTTGCGACTCTTGTTTACCTTTTTATTATCTAGGAAATAATGTCATGGCAACCAATTAACCCATAAGGCCAATGTTAAATTTCCAAAATTTTAAATTCATGTAGGGAAAAGCCCTGTGGTCCGATTTGTACCATTTCAGATTTATACCTTCCCATGGTTGGTTACTATGATTGTGCAAAATTTGGTGCAGATCGCTTCAGCCGTTCAGGAGGAGTATTTGTAAAACAAAAGCAGGAGTGTAGTATAAGAGCTTCGCTTCGCTCCGCTCAATAATGACTGTAATCTTATTAAATTTTGTACAGGCTGCTATTGTTGGTGCACACACAAAAAAGGTGTTGTTCTTGGGCGTCAGAAACAAATATTGTAACATTTGTTCTCGAGCAGAAACAAGTGCGACCCCAGCGACGGACCATAGGTGCTACAAAAACTGGGATGGGTGCTCAGCCAGCATGGAAGCAGATATAATTGTGGAAGGATTTAAAAGGAGTCTGGAAATGTATAATGCAGTGTATGGAACTATTCTGGCTGATGGAGACTTTAATGTGTACAACCAAATTTTGGACACGAGACCATATAATAATTGGACAGTAGACAAAATTGAATGTACAAATCATCTTTTAAGAAACTACTGCCCGAAACTGCGTGGTATTGCTTCTGATACAAAATCCGGTCCTCTTGAAATGCGGAAATTGCTTAGGAACAATATTTTACGCCTAAGATCAGCAGTGACAAAAGCTGCAAAGCACAGGAAAAAAGAAAGTAGTACGGTCGGTGGTAAAACGGTGTTGCAACTGCAGCAAGATTTGGCCAATTCCGCCAGCCATGTTTTTGGTGAACACCTCCACTGCAAGAGTCTCAAGTATTTTTGCCAAGGACCGAAGGAGTCAGAAAAAAACTATGTTCCTGCCATGAAGCAATGTGGAATGTATCAGAAGATAATGAAACACATATTTAAGCTATTTGGTTGATAATGCCAGAAGTTTGATACTGCAAGACAGCAACAATCCAGCTGAACATTTTAACTCAGCCGTTGCAAAAGTAGTAGGTGGAAAACGAGTCAACTTCTCTAAGGGCAGGTCATATGAGGCTAGATGTTCTGCAGCGGTTGTGTCCCATAATACAGGACAATCACCGTACACCCTCTACAAATCAAATCGAGTGGAGGTTATAGATCGGGACGACACTTTTTGGCAAGAAAAAATGGTAAATCCTCTAAAAGCCTTTTATATAGATTGCCTACTGCCAGAACTGATCGATCCACGGCACACCAGATCAATGACTATTAGGAATCCAGCACACTATGTGCATCCAAAGACAATAAAATCGAAGAAGGATTAAAAACCGTAGGCGTACATTAATCAAACCTAAATTTCTTTATACTTAATGTAAATAGTTTTAACTTATGTAATGTAAATTATTGTCTCATAGGCTTGATTATTAAATACAAATTAAATATTAATTTACATTTAAATTGTAATTCAAAGGCAATAATGTATTCATTAAACCTACATTTTGTACATTGAGGTTGCATATCATAATTTGCCAATAGTAAGGTTCAAATTTGTTGTCAGTCTAAACACATTTATATTGAAACACACTCATACAAACTATTATTATTTTATATTTGTTCTGAGCTTAAGTTGTATTAAATTTATCTTTCCATGATGGGTGCATAATTCATTATTACCTAGGTCTTTTATCAAAAACTACTTTGAAATTTATCTTGATTGTATCTGTTGACACTATTGACATAATAACTAATTACTATAGAGAAATTGTGATCTAAGCTATGTACGCACGAGAAACATATTATTGACAAGTTATTCACAACTGCACATGCCAAAATAATGAAACTTTTAAGTAAAATTGCTGTTTTAAGCTAGAATGAGCAATTCTAATTATTCTAATAATACACAACTTCATGGTATTTTAAGAATAATTAATTTTACTTTCTAATTTAATACTTTCTGAGATTTAAAAACTACCTATCTCATGACTTTTTTTTCGTAAAATGTAAACCAAACGTCAAAACCTAATAAAACTTTAATACAAAATGAACTAATGCTTGTTTTGAAGGTCATTGTATTTATTGTGTAAATATCCATAATGCTAAGGCACAATGTTACGCATATTATTGATATTAACAAACAATATTAGTTGCGCTCGCCACAAGGGCTCCTCACGCTCACAGCTAGTGATGTAAAAGATCGATAAGTTTGCTGCTGCGCGTGCGTAGGTGCGGAGTCGCGTCTTTAGTAGTAGTTTGTTTACACAATGTTTTCAGAAAGGCGCGCATAATGACCCCGCGCTACCCGCCCGTCCACACCACCTTCCCCCCAAGGCTATCTCCCCAAAACGGAACTACACCTAGGGGGATGAAGACTCTTAATACATTTTAATTAATATATATGAAGTTCACTATAATTGTTCTATACTAAAAATTTTAATATACAAAATTATTAGTTTCTACTTTATCTTAGTAATTCGTCTTCTTTTTACTAATTTCCTTGCACAAAAGACTCAATCTGGTAACGTTACTAACTACTGCTAATTAGCCACTACCCCACAATGGGGAAAAAATATCACAATTTGTTATTTCATATCCATTTTTACTATAACAAACCCTACTCCCCTTATATTATTACTTTTCTCTCTTACCGCAAACATTTTTTTATAAGGTGTTCTTTAAGGTGGAGCTTGAAATTAACTTGCCAACCTCCTCAAATATATTTGCCAAATTAATATAACGTAATATTGACTGTTTCACTGACTGAATTGTAAAGACTAAACTCTAATCTACTAATGACGACTAACAGTATGGACATAAGATATTGGTATGGGCATTAGAACCGTTTACTTCAAATTTGACAGAGACTTGAGAAATGCTATGAGTGCTATCTAGACCACTTCTAGGTGTGCTACGGACTTGAAATTTCCCTGGCTTCTTGGTGATGGCCTCTCACCCCTTCCTAAATTTCTAAATAACGACTAACAGATAGGGGGCCTGGGGGCGGAGCCCCTGTGTTTAATAGCCTATACAGCTAATGGCAACTAAGGGACCTACTGTTTATAGTGGAATCCGAACCACATTTTTTTCCTTGGTATATACGAATTGGTCTAATTGTCAGGACAGTACTGCGGATAGTCGTTCTACTCACTCGTGCGGACGTTAATCCACACCAGGGAGTATTGCATCCACAGTGCATGCCTATAAATATCCACAATTTGTGACCTCCTAGTAGCTGGATTACAGGACGACGCCACTGTCCCAGTCATACATGAAAATTAGAACAAATGGTGTTTTTGGCCTCTGGGGACATCAAATTTAAAGAGTAAATTGGTCCCAAACCTAGGTCTTACCGTGCCACCTATGGTAATAGCTATAGGGAAATTCGTTAAAATAAATTGGCCAAAAAAAAAAAAATTAAGTTTAAATTTTTCTGAAAAGAATAACATGGTGATTTTAAATGTACATTTTTTTTACATACAGCCCTACATGTTCATGCAAAATTTCATCAAAATCAGACTAAAATTCCTTGACTTACCAAAAGACACACACACACATACTACTATGTAAATTTTATTTTGAGAAATAGTGTTTTGGCCTATGGGGACATCAAGATGAAAAAATACCCCCGCCGCAGCAAACCTGCAGACTAAGCGAATTTCCATTTGTCTGATTGGATTTAAACTAAAATGTATCCTTAAAAATATCATATTTATTCCCTATTTAAACAGAATTAGTTTAATGAGTATTTAGGTTTGCTGCAACAGGGAGGGTAAAAACGTTTTTTTTCATGTAAAATGTTAAAAGGTACAGTGGTTTAGTAAGAAATTAATGTATTTTCCAAATTTGATCAAAATATGTTCATAAACAAGCAAACTACATCAGTTGACTTATTCTCCATAAGAATAACATGGGAATTTTAAAATTACAATTTTTTTTTGAATTTTCTCCGTAACAATTAGGCGCATAATAACGCTTCAATATACTAAATTATTTCTTTTTTTAAGCTCTACAAAATGGTTTAAAAAGAAATTGTGAAATTTTGTGTTTTTAGGGTCAAAAATGGGAAAAACCTATTTTTACCCCATAAAACCCCCCATAAACCCCCGTTCCCATAGTCTGATCACGCTGGTTCGCGAACTCATTCAAGTTTATCCCGCCTTACACCTTCAAACCAATTTTTATCAAAATCGGACAAAAATTACTCAAGTTATCGTGCGGATGGACACACACATATATATATATATCTATATATAGATATATAAAAATTTGAACGAATGGTGTTTTTGGCCTCTGGGGACATAAAAATGAAAAAGTAAATTGGTCCCAGGCTTAGGTCTTACCATGAGACCTACGGTAATAGCTACTTCCCTATAGGGAAATTCGCTAATAACTCGGCCATGGGTCTTACCATGCCTGCTCCAATAATAGCTACTTCCCTGTCTAGGGAAATACGATAATGTTATTTTTCTACACAAACCACCTAAGGCCAAGCACTCTTACATTGTCCCCATCACAGGCTTTAATGATACCTGATTATCGGTTAGCAGATTAATTTCATTATACCTACTTATTAAATTTCTTCTAGGAATTAACACTTTAAAAAAATATTTGTCTACCAGCCAATCAAACCAATCTTGTATGAGTAATTATTGTGCGTGTTTTTTTTTTCAAACTTAAACCTAACAAATTTACCTAAATTGAAGATAGCCTACTTCTGGGTTGAACATCCATAGTAAATTTCATAATAACCTGTAAATATAGGAGATTTTAAGGCACAAATAACAGGTAAAATTGATTAGTTATGAAATTTAGATTCAAATAGTATCTTTAATATCAGATTAATGCATATTACAAAATACAGTCTTATTTTGATGACTTGATACATGCAATCAAAGATTATCTGACACTTATTTATAAATATACAAAACAAACAGTTTCTCTCAAAAAAGCAATTGAATAAAACTGAAAGGTTCTTGAACAAACTTTAAAAAGCAAACTTCCTTGAATCAATAGTCTTCATGATTGGTACTTTTTTTGCAAAAAGACTCTGACACACTAAATAAGCATCCTACTTTAATATAATTCTGAAATGAAAATATTAAACAAATAATTCTTTAATTACAATTAAAATTGAGCAACACTATCCTCTGACACTATTGGCAATGGGATTTCCTTCCTATGATGTTAAATTCAAATTAGTAGAACAAACACAAATCTTGATATTTTTTAAAAATTGGGTCTCTGGCAACAAACTCTTGCAGTAAAAACAATAGATCTCAAACAACAAATCTTAAGATAAAAATAACATAAATTTATTAGAACTTACTTGTTAGTTTAAACGTGTTTCAAGTACCGTACTTGAAAAAAACTCAATTTTAGGAAGAAAAATAAGTAGCCTATGCTAACTTTTGTTCATCTGTTACCACGTATGGATGCTCAGTTAATTACCAGATATAAACGCTTGGCATAGACTATTAGCGATTACTCCAAATTTCCCAATCCCAAACAAAATTTAGACTACATACAATCCCAGTATCCTCGTCAACTGGCCACTGATTAACCAACTCTACTTTGTCTTATTTGTGAGTAATTTATAAGTGAATGTTGCAAAAGAACCCATACAAGACAGGATGATAATGATAAAATGACTACGTGTCATTGGTTCAGTTACAAGTGTCTAGGTATCAGTGAAACCAGAGATGTGGCTGCTTAATATGACTATATAATTATCAACCATCCAACCATACAATCAACCATACAATAAAAAAAAAAAATACCATTGTGGGATGCACTAGAATGAGATTACAGTAGTTTAAAAGAAGAGTACACATTGCTTACGAAATGTTATAAACAAAATATACTAAAACATGTCATCATGGCTTAGATCAGGTATTAATCTAAGTCCTCGTTCTTTCAGAGACTTAGCCAATAACTTGTCGTGCTCTTGTTTGGCTTCTTGCTCTCGCCGCTGGGCATCTAGAATGTCATCAACAGAAACTTCTACGAGAGGCAAATTGGCCTCCTTCTCACTGTCCTAAAAGGCAACAAAATCTTAAGTTTGATACAATTAAAACATAAAATAGATAAAGATCCCAAAGATCTAACTGATGTGAGACAAAAAAAGTAAAATACTGTAATGGTATTGAACTTTCCATTTAGCTTGACAGGACACTGACAGAGCACTTCCAAAACCTCATTAAATATTTTTATTCATGTAGGCCTACTACAATTAATTACAATATAATAATTTACTTCACTCACTCCTGTGGTAACTCAAATCCAACTTGATTTTTGGCCTCACCAACAAGAAAAATATTCAGGTCACCATAATAACTCAAACTATAGTATTATTTAGGTACAAAATACACTAAATTATAAAATCTATTTATACTCATAACATGAACCTAGGAAAAAATATACTTTTTTGTCCTAGGACGCTAGGCACGAGTCGGAATTGTTTTTCACATTACTTCAGGCTAAGACCTAGGGGTTACGGCATTATCACTTAGATAAACTCCATTGGTGATTTGGCGGGATTTGAACCAGGAACCGGAGTCCCGCGCTCTAACCACTAGACCAGCTCGCTCCCCAGGAAAAAATATACTAAACACAACTACAACACCAACTACTTACAATTTCACCAAGAAGAACAACATTTTCCCCTCTAATTATAAAAACTCCTCTTGGTATATCTCCATATTCTTTACCGACATGGATCCTTTCAATGGTTCTGTGAAGTACCAAGTTCGCAAATTGATCAACACTGCGTAGATAACCAATTAATGTCCTTCCATCTCTTAGGAGCACCATGAGCTTTTCTGAAAAGAAAAAGGATCTTTATGTATGTCCCATTTTTTTTTACAGTTTTGGAAATTTAATAAAGCGTCTAATAATACTTTTTCAAGTGAGATACAGTTAATATTTATACTAAAATGTAGATAAACATGCATGTTTACAATTATTGGTCATCTGTATTAGCGAATTTCCCCTAGGGAATAAGCTATTACCGTAGTACTCATGGTAAGACCTGGACCCGGGACCGATTTATTTTTTTGTTTTGAGGTCCTTAGAGACCAAAAACACCGCATCCGTTCAATTTCATATATATATTTATATATGTGTCCGTTAGCGCGATAACTCGAGCAAAAATCATCCGATTTTGATGAAATTTGGTACAAGCGTGTAAACCTACATTTATTGGAACGAGTTCGCGAACCAGCATGATCGGAATATGGGAAAAGGGGTTTATGGGGCGAAAATTGGGTTTTCCCATTTTTGACCCTAAAAACCTAAAATTTAGCATTTTCTTTCCAAACCATTTTGTAAATCTTAAAACAACAAATAATTTAGTATATTGAAGCGTTATTATGCGCCTAATGGTTACGGAGAAAACATAAAAAAACTGTAAATTTAAAATTCCCACATTATTCTTATGGAGAATAAGTAAACTGTTGTAGTTTGCTTGTTTATGATCATATTTTGATCAAATTTGGAAAATGCATTCATTTCATACTATTTTAAACTATTAACATTTTACAAAAAAACACCTTTTTACCCTCCCTGTTGCAGCAAGCCTAAGAATTTGTTAAACTAATGTTGTTTATATAGGGAATAAAATGTGATATTTTTAAGGAGACATTTTAGTGTAAATCCAATCAGGCAAATGGCAATTCGCTTAGTCTGCAGGTTTGCTGCGGCGGGGGTATTTTTCTTGTATTTTAACACAGTTTCAGAAATATAATTGTCTAATAAAAATTTTAAGGGTGTATTTGTAGTAAGGCATACTTTTGTGGTACTAGGTAACATGAAAAACAAGTTAACATTATAGTAAGATAGACATGTCTGTTACAATCATTTTTGTGTATTTAATTTCTAGCATGCATAACATAAGACAAAAAATGTGTCTCAAAAGTGGTATCCAGGGCAACAGCTATACATTTTTTTTAGGTGGGAGGGGGCAAGTGCTAAATTTGCCGCCCTTTCACCAAACAACTGTAGATTCTTTTTCTCTCATGTCAATGGCATTTTACATACACGAGACAAACAAACCTTTTTAAGAAAATGAGCCAAGGGTTTAATGATATTTTGATATTACGTTATTAACACATTACCTACCAACTATACTCATCCCTCAGTTACAGAGGAGTGTGACGGTCGGTAGGGAACCTGTTAACACATTAGCTACCAACTATACTCATCCCTCAGTTACAGAGCAGTGTGACGGTCGGTAGGGAACCTGTTAACACATTAGCTACCAACTATACTCATCCCTCAGTTACAGAGCAGTGTGACGGTCGGTAGGGAACCTGTTAACACATTAGCTACCAACTATACTCATCCCTCAGTTACAGAGGAGTGTGACGGACGGTAGGGAACCTGTTAACACATTAGCTACCAACTATACTCATCCCTCAGTTACAGAGCAGTGTGACGGTCGGTAGGGAACCTGTTAACACATTAGCTACCAACTATACTCATCCCTCAGTTACAGAAGAGTGTGACAGTCGGTAGGAAATGTGTTAAAAATATAATAATTTCTTTAAATTGGTATAAATAAATAAATACTTTATTGTCTTGACGATATAATTGTATTGACAGTACAATTAATGAATTTTTAGCTTAGGTTTAGTATTAAATTAAACTCTAGCATTTCATTTAAAAATTTTGATGCATTTTTCATTATATTGTGAAAATTTTATACCTGTAAAGTACAATTTAAAAGTGAACAAATCAAACAAATTTTTGAATATATTGTGTTTATTAAATTGCAGTGAACATACAGCTCAGCTCTCAATATACAAAGTCCTCCATTTAAAAGCTAGTTAAATTTGATTTTTCTTAATTTTTTTGGCAGCACACATCTTTATTATGTAAAAAAAAACACATTTTGATGCTTTTTCATTTTTATTGACCCTTATTTATTGAGACAATACTTGCTAATAATTAATAATTGCTGAGGCTTTGATCGTCTTGATTGGTGATCAGTGGCAGTTACAGCCAGGGGGCTTGTCAATAGAATTGCCTGCAATTACAACAAAATTGTGAACATCTCCCGCTATCACGAGGACGTGATTAATGTCACCCGCGATTACAACAAAATCTTCAACGTATCACGCCATCACGGGGACATCATTATCGTTACCTGCAAGTGTGACTCATTATTTTTAGAAAACAATTTGTTGAGTTTAAAAAAAAGTTGTTTTTCCACTAAATGCTGCGCCCCCCTTTCAATGAGGCCCTAGGCTGCGGCCTAATGAAACTGGTCTTAATCTTGTGATCATGACAAAATCCTGAACATTCCCACGAACACCAAGACATTATAAGCTCCCCAGGTAGCGGCAAAATCTTGAACATCGCTGCAAACACTACAACTCGTTGTCGTCCCCTGCGACCACAACAAAATCATTTCATGAGGGTGGTAAAAAAAAGAAAAAACAGTAAACAAAAACCCAACTTTAAAAATATGGCTTATTTGAACCCTTTTAAAGTTCACTACAGTTTTTTAGAAACGTCTACTGGTACAATTTCAGATAGAAGTTAGAACAATTTAAGAAAAATATATGTTATAGGCGTCAATTAAATAGCGGAGAGGGAATCAGGAATAGGATGGCGCGGGCGGCTTTTCATTCTACACACCCCACAAGTCTGTAAAAACAAGAAATTACATTGACCTTAAGCAGTCATGTCTGCCGCTTCCATCCCTGCACCTCACCACCGCAGTATAACTGTAACTTTCCGCAGTGTGAGGGCAACGGTTTGTAGGTACTTATGCAAACCAATCCCTGTCTCTGAGCACGGACGGTATGGTTATCTTGAGTGTGGGGGGTTCTTCCCGGAACCTCAATTGAGTCAAGGGTGTCGCCACCTCTGGTGGATAGGTTCATCCGGGTGGGTCCCACTTCTATACCTGCCTCCTTTTGGGAAACCCTGATGGCCTGGCAGTGATGTTGGGTCTGACGGGCAAACGAAGTAGATCGGGTGCTGGGTCCGAGCCCGCCAGGGGTATCTGGGGATCTATCGCTCTGGTTACCTCTGGTTTCCCAGCAATGGGTAAGGCCTCGATCGGGCAGCGGTGTAAATGGGAGGTTGGGGTTCCCCCCGTCAGCGTGCTGATGGTCCCCTTCCTCCTGGCTATTGATGGCGGGTTCTGCCTGTCAGGGATTAGATAGGTCCCGAGTGTTGCTTGCACTAAATGCGTCGGGGCGCTCTACCATGGACCTCTAGGTTCCGACCTAGTGGAACCCAGGTGGAGTGACGCTTAAACAAGCAGCCGGAATCCCTGGTTAGGATTGAGGGGCAACCCTCTTTCCGAAGGGTCTGCTTCGGCAGCCGGCGAGCCTGATGACCTTAAGTCATCCGCCCATGATGTGCTAAAGGTTGATGCGTAAGCTTCGGCCTACATCATGGGGCCCGGGTATGTCCTAAAGGATAGGTACCGGGTAAGCAGTCAGGGGGCTTCGGCTCTCATGACAACAAATGTAATGTAATGTAAAAAAAAACCTCACCACCGCGATCATATGAATATATTCTTAAGAGCCCTTTTCAAAGGTATTGGCTAGACCACTTAAGTATGCAGAGCTTAAAAAACCAAATAATTTAGTATATCAAAGTGTTCTGTACGGTTATTGGTTACGGAGAAAATTCAAAAGTTGTAAATTTAAAATTCCCATGTTATTCTTATATGTTATTCTTATAAGGTAGTTTGCTTGTTAGCGAATTTCCCTATAGGGAAGTAGCTATTACCGTAGGTCTCATAGTAAGACCTAAGCCCGGGACCGATTTACTTTTTCATTTTGATGTCCCCAGAGGCCAAAAACACCATTCGTTCAAATTTTTATATATCTATATATAGATATATATATATATATATATATATATATATATATGTGTGTCCATCCGCACGATAACTTGAGTAACTTTGTCCGATTTTGATAAAATTTGGTTTGAAGGTGTAAGGCGGGATAAACTTGAATGAGTTCGCGAACCAGCACGATCGGACTATGGGAACGGGGGTTTATGGGGGGTTTTATGGGCTAAAAATAGGTTTTTCCCATTTTTGACCCTAAAAACACAACATTTCACAATTTATTTTTAAACCATTTGTAGAGCTTAAAATACCCCCGCCGCAGCAAACCTGCCGACTAAGCGAATTTCCTTGTCTGAATTGATATTCAGTTAAATATATTTTAATAACATTAGGTTTAACGAGTACCTAGGTTTGCTGCTACAAGGAAACTAATAAAGTGTGTTTTTGAGTAAAATATTGATAGCTTAGTACAAAATAAATAAATTTGCCAAGTTTGATCAAAATATATCCATAAACAAGCAAACTACAACATTTGACAATATTCTCCATAAGAATAACATGGGAATTTTAAATTTACAATTTTTTTAATTTTCTCCGTTACTAGTAATCGAAGAAAAATACTTTTATATACTAAATTATTTGTTTTTTTAAGCTCTTTAAAAAGGTCTAAAGAGAAATCGGGAAATTTTGTGTTTTAAGGGTCAAAAGTGAGAAAAACCAATTTTTACCCCATAAAACCCCCCGTAAAGCCCCGTTCCCATGGTCCGATCGTGCTGGTTCGCGAACTCATTCAAGTTTATCCCGCTTTACACCTTTAAACCAAATTTAATCAAAATCGGACAAAAATTACTCAAGTTATCGCGTTCACGGACGTATATATATATATATATATATATATGTCTATATATATATATATATACATATATAAAAATTTGAACGAATGGTGTTTTTGGCCTCTGGGGACATCAAAATGAAAAAGTAAATCGGTCCCGGGTCTAGGTCTTACCGTGCCACCTACGGTAATAGCTACTTCCCTATAGGGAAATTCGCTAAAAACAAATAATTTAGTATATTGAAGCGTTATTATGCGCCTAATTGTTACGGAGAAAATTCTAAAAAATTGTAATTTTAAAATTCCCATGTTATTCTTATGGAGAATAAGTCAACTGTTGTAAATTTGCTTGTTTATGAACATATTTTGATCAAATTTGGAAAATACATTAATTTCTTACTAAACCGCAGTACCTTTTAATATTTTACATAAAAAAAACTTTTTACCCTCCCTGTTGCAGCAAACCTAAGTACTCATTAAACTAATTCTGTTTAAATAGGGAATAAATGTGATATTTTTAAGGAGACATTTTAGTTTAAATCCAATCAGGCAAATGGGAATTCACTAAGTCTGCAGGCTTGCTGCGGCGGGGGTATTTATGGATATAATATTTTGATCAAACTAGGCAAATTTATTTATTAGTGAATTTCCCTATAGGGAAGAAGGTATTACCGTAGGTCTCATGGTAAGACTTGGGCCCGGGACCGATTTACTATTTCATTTACATGTCCCCAGAGGCCAAAAACACTATTTGTTCAAAATTTTATATATGTATCTTTATTTATAAAAGAGGAAGTTTGTATATTATATTTGAACGTTATGGACTACGAAACCGCTCGACAGATTGTAATGAAGTTGTGTGAAGTTTGGTGCAGATCCGTTAAAAGGCCTACTGGCTCTGGAGTTTCCCATGTTAAACTTATGAGTACTTAAATTTAAATGGAATTAAAGAATCTTAACAGCTGGTTCAACTAAACAGTTTGATTCTGTGATGTTCAATAACATTAAAAAGATAATAGGTTTATCAACAGGGTGCAGCACTATTATTTTCTTTTTAATTTATGACAACAGATAATTTTCAACCAAGAGGTGAGTGAGCGTAGCGAGCGAACTTCAACCTGGAGGCGAGTTAGTGTAGCGAACGAGCTAAACCTGAAGGCAAGTGAGCACAGCGAACGAGCCCCAGCCTATAGCAAACGAACATCAACCAGGACGTGATTGAGCGATGCGTCAAGCTCATCTTGAAAATGAACGAGCATTTGACATAAAACCACATAAGGACAGGACGACATATATATATACTGTCGGGGAAAAAAGTTTAGACACTCGAGTTTGGAGCTCTACAGAAAAGTAACCTACTAACTTAGAAAAACACGTAGTATATATAAATTTTCGTTGTTTAATTCTACGTATTCCTGTGAAAACAAAAATTTTTTAGCTCGTTTAGGAAATTTTTTATGACAGTCGGAAGGCAAAAACTCCCTGTTTTTAGAGTAACAAAAACGATCTTATGACTTTGAAAATTCGCACAATGTGAACTAAAAGTCAGAACTTTATCAAACTTTAATACAATATAGACACATATATAATGAATTAATTTGTGAAGTTTCAGAATTTTTACTTTACCCATAAAGTTTTTGTTGTAACTTTTGTAAATTAACTTTTTCTCAAAAACGGCAAACGCTAGAAAAAAAATGAAAAGCTTGTTATGATGGTCATTGGTTTTGTATTTGAAATATTGATACTGCTCAACCACATTGTTACGCATATTATTTATATAAGTTAACATTTAATTTGGATAATGCAGCGGCCGAATACGGCACTTCCAGACCGCCGCAGGCTCTGGCTGGGCGCATACCCTGTACAGTGTTGCCAAATTGAACACCAGGACACTGAGCAGCGATGGGCTGCAAACTGTTGAGTCAAAACTGAACAGAATATATTATTAACCATTTCCCATCACCTTTTCTAATGAGGGCTTTGGATCTGATTTTGATATGCTGGATATCGCTTATCCCCTAACATTTCTCCCTCACTTCTAAAAAAACATATCGCACTGACAATCATTACATATTCAGAATCCGACAATGAGGTCGGATCCAGAATTCTGACAGCCTGAGGTGGATTACTGATGACATATTTGGACTTTGGACCCTTTGGAAGAATGCAAAACACGATATTTCCTGTGAGTCAGTCATCACTCGGTGACACACTGCGTGAATCACCTTACGCTCGGTCAAGGTCCATCGTGGCAACACTGCACTGGATTCCTGCGCGGGCGATGGCGTCTGCACTCCTTGCAGGCGCGAGATCATCCAGTTTTTTGTTAATCTATATTAATAACATGTGTAACAATTTGGTTGAACAGTATTAATATTTCAAATACAAAACCAACCACCTTCGAAACAAGCTTTTCATTTTTTTTCTAGCGTTTACCGTTTCTGAGAAAAAGTAAATTTACAAAAGTTACAACAAAAACTGTTTGGGTAAAGTAAAAATTCTGAAACTTCACAAATTAATTCATTATATATGTGTCTATATTGTATTAAAGTTTGATAAAGTTCTGACTTTTAGTTTACATTGTGCGAATTTTCAAAGTCATAAGATCGTTTTTGTTACTCTAAAAACAGGGAGTTTTTGCCTTCCGACTGTAATAAAAAATTTCCTAAACGAGCTAAAAATTTTTTGTTTTCACAGGAATACGTAGAATTAAACAACGAAAATTTATATATACTACGTGTTTTTCTAAGTTAGTAGGTTACTTTTCTGTAGAGCTCCAAACTCGAGTGTCTAAACTTTTTTCCCCGACAGTAGGTTTACTAGCTGGCCCGACAGACGTGTCGTCCTGTCCTTATGTGGTTTTATGTCAAATGCTTGTTCATTTTCAGGAGATTTTCAAGGGGTACTAATGCTTTTATAATGTTTTCTAATATATATATATATATATATGGTATTAGAAAACATTATAAAAGCATTAGTACCCCTTTAACTCATTTTAATTATTAACGACTAGTTTCAACACTAAGGTTATAGTCATGTTCGTCATGTCATTGTCACTCGAATGAGCTTGTGAACCAGCATTAGGCTAAGTTATATATAAGGCTCAATCATCCCAGTGGGTTGTCGTTTTACAGCCGAAGATGACATTAAAACCCCATAGTTGATAGCACTTAAAGTCTATTAAAGATTGAGTCGAAGAATTTTTTCAGGGTTTGGAAGAAGCGCCGGCACAAGTGCATAATGGGAACTATTTTGAAGGCAACGACAACAATTTAAATATTTTGTTCAAAAAATGAAAATCCTTGTTTTTTAACAGACCTCATATATCCGCCACCCAATCACTCCAAATGGTCACAACCCATAGTTTATAAACTAAAAAAAGTTAACATTAGGCTAGTTTAAAATTGAACTTACTGTCTAACTCATCAAGAAGTGTGGCAGTGCCTGGTGGAAACATTGGTCTCTCCATTGTCTGCAACAGAAAAAACTCATTGGCTAATAGTACTAGTGATACACTTAGGCCAGTGACTTACAAGTGATACCCGTAGGCTCCACCCAATTAATAGACATACTTTGAATTGTTCATTGCAAAGTAATAACTGAAACATCCTTGGGCCTAATAATTTTTTTAATTAGGCTAAGTTACATCAGAGAAGTAAAATTCAGAGGATACATTCAATTTTACATTTAAGTGGTGTCTAGAGAAAATTATATTTGTCGTCCCCTTCCGCTCTCCTTTCCTTGAGGTTCATCTTATACCTAGTTTGAATCCTTTATAGCCTATTATCGGATGAATAACGATAAATAACTTAAATATACATTTTTTTCAACAATTCCTTTTTTACCCCAATGTAAACATCGAATTCAGTTATGATTTATTTAGCCTACATTTTTATTGATACTGGTATTTAATCAATAAAACTAGTATCAATATTAACCAAAAACAAAATATCTTTTATGAAAAGTATCAAAACCAACAAGTTAATACAAAAACTAAAAAATCTACAAACCAGGGTATAATTGTAATTGCCTTACATATTGTAAAAATGAAACTAAACAAAGGGTCTTGTCCTAACAATTTCATCCACTATTAGATAGATACACACAAAGGTGATTTGCGGAGTTGTCAGAACACAACTTTTTAAGAATTTGAATGGTTTCTTCCATTTTTATTCTTAACCCTGCAGTGGTGACCCACGGTCTCTGAGACCGACGCAAAGTTCAGTCGTAGTTAACCAGTTCCCGGAAAAGTTGGGTTAACCTTACAACTAACCAAACGATATATCGAATAATCGATATATTCGGGCCAACAGAACTAAAAGCCTTGTTGAGAAAAAACTTGGGTACATTTTCACAGAGAACCTGTGATATATTATGGGATGAAAAACTATAAAGTTAAGCCTATATAAGTAGGTAGCCTACATATATATCTTTTTTTTTTAGGTCCTCTTCTCCATAGTAGTTGAGACCAGGGAATCGTAAAATTCTTGTTTTTTCTTTTTCTTTCTTCTTTGGGTACTGTTTTGTATTGTTGTAGGGTGTGTGGTCTTCGAAATATTCATTTAGACTATAGTAAGGTTTTTTGATTAAGTATTGTTTCAGTTTTTTTATGAAAAGAGTGTTTGAATCTATTGATTTTAGGTTGTTTGGCAATGTGTTAAATATTTTAGTTCCTATTATTTTTGGATTTCTGCTAGTTTTAGTGAGTCTGTGTGGTTGTAGATTGTAGTTTGCCTGTAAATTTCTGAGGTTGTAGTTATGGCAATTGTTTCTGGTTGGGGGGGGGGTCATTTTTTAGGAATTTCATTATTTCTAGGATGTACAAGGAGGGTAAAGTTAGGATTTGGTTAGTTGTGAAGAAAGGTTTGCAGTGTTCCCTATATTGCAGTTGTTCAATTGATCTCACAGCTCTTTTTTGAAGTATTAGTAGCTTTTGTAGATGGTAGTCTGCTGCTGAGCCCCTGGCTATGATGCCATACCTCAAGTGACTTTCGAATAGGGCAAAATATGCTATTTTGGCCGTACTCTTATCAGTCACTGACCAAATCCTTCTTATTGCAAAGAGTGTTGTTGACAATTTCTTTTCCAGGTTTTCTATGTGTAGGTGCCAGGACAAGTTTTTGTCCAGGGTGATACCGAGGAATTTGGTTTCTGTTGCCATTGTGATCGAGGTGCAGTTTGCAGGTGGGTTATGGTCAGGTTGATTCGATGCTGTAAAGTTTATGTTGACAGTTTTTGATGTATTGATTTTGAGGTTTAGTGAAGAACATATTTCTGATGCCAGTTTTAGGGTTTTTTCTGTTTCAGCATGGTTTGTAGATGATGTTGGATAAATGATGGTGGTGTCGTCAGCAAACATTATGCAAGTTTTATCTGGTGTTAGATAATTTGGGAAGCTATTGATGTATATCAAGAAGTAGAGGGGTCCGAGTACAGATCCTTGAGGAATTCCTCGTTTAGTTAGTTGAGTGGGTGATTTAGTTTTTGTTTGTATTTTATTTATCTGGTGAATTATTTCAACCTGTTGTTGCCTATCTTTGAAATAGTCTTTAATCCAATTTAGTGCGTTTCCTTTTATATTAATTTGGTATAGTTTGTCAAACAGTATATCTCTATCTAAGCTGTCAAAGGCTTTCTGTAGGTCTAAGAAGAGTCCTGATGCTGGTTGTTTATTTTCCCAGAGGATGGTAATTGCTTCATGGAGTTCATTTAGTTCTGAGTTGATAGATTTGTTTTTCCTAAATCCGTGTTGATGAGGGGATAGTATCAGTAGGTTGGTTAGGTGTTCCATGATCTGTGTATAGATTATTCTTTCAAGGTATTTGGATAATGTCGGTAAGATTGATATCGGGCGGTAGTTTTCCATCAAAGTACTGTCTCCTTTTTTATATTTAGGATATACTGTTGCAGTTTTCATTCCAGATGGGACTTTTGCTTGGTTAATCGAAGAGTTTATGATATGAAGAAGGGGTGGTGCGATTTCGCTCTGGCAGTGTTTGATAATTCTATTTGAAATTTCATCATACCCACATGAGTTTTTTGGTGGTAGTGCTTTGAAGATCTGTTTGAGTTGGTCCATGGTTATTGGCTTAAAATTTGATAATTCAAAGGCTTGTGTTAAGTTGGTAGTTTCATGCTGGTCTGTAGGAGGGTGAGGATCATTTATTCGAGTGTTGTTATCCTGGGATACAAAGTATCTGTTGAAGGTATCACTGATCAAGCTGGGGTCGTTAGTGAGGTTTTGATTAACGTTCAGGGTGAGTGGCCTATCAATATGATCTACTTTGGAGTTTGTTTCTTTGTTTATGGTGTTCCATATTTCCTTTATTGGGTTGCTGGAGCTCTTGATCTTGTTTGAAGTGTGTTTACGTTTTTTGTCTTTTATTTCCAGGTCATATATTTTCTTCAGGTTTTTGTAGGTGGCGTTATCTTTGTCTGTTCCGGTTAGATTGTATTTGTTTTGTGCGGTCTGTAGGTTACTTCTGAGTTTGTGCAGATCTTCATCCCAAAAACGGTTTGGATTTTTGTTTTTGATGGTTTTAAGGAACCTGGGCATGGTTTCATCCATATTTAGTCTAATGGTTTGGATTAGTGCCCTATATTGGTCGTCTACAGAGGGGTTATGATAGACATTTTCCCAATTTTCATTTTTTAGTTTGGTTTTCAGCAAATCTAGATTTTGAGGAGTAATAGGCCTGATCATTTTTTTAAAAGGCGTTGTAAGTGGAGCGGAGAAATCAGTTATCTTGCATACAATTGCTTCGTGGTCTGATATATTACTTTGTTGGGCTGTAGCTTTAATTAATGATGGGTTTATGTTTGTAATGCAGGCATCAATGCAGTTTCTTTGAAGTCGGGGTTATTCTGGTGAAAGAAGTTTCAATTTGATGTAAGTTGTGAGATTTTAATATGTTTGAAAGTTGTTTAACATCTTTATCATCTTGGTTTTGTAGTTTGATGTTTATGTCACCCAAGATAACTATTTTTTTTTTCTTTTTGTTGGAGAATTGCTGTAGTAGGCTATCTGTAATGTCAAAAAACTGGTTTTTGTTTTCCGGTTCTTGGTTATCCGGTTCTATGTTAATATTGTAGCCTATTGAATAGTTATTGATCAAACAAGGTAACTAAAAAGCCTTCATATAAAGTTAAAATTGCCAATAACTTAGTTGTTAGGCCTACTGCAAGGTTGGTGGTGTAAGCCTAGTTTACTTACCAATCCGTTTTCGTTGAGATGTACCATTACACTTATATCAACAAATTATAGAATAGATCCTCTAAGGTCTATTCAAGATTCCTGAGGAAGAACTGAAAAGTAATGATTTAAGCTAATGTACTTCGTAACTAAGACATAAACATTCAGTTAAAATATAAAACTACTAAATAACTTAGGTGTTTTTAAAACAAGGGTAGGCCCTAACCTGTCCTTTAAAACCAAAAGCCTTAGAAAAAACTCAATTAAGTAACTGTTCCAACTTAAAACTCGATCTTGCAGTCATGGTCACGAAATAATTACTGAGTAATTAGCTTATTTGATTTGATGTTGACAAGACAACGTCTACAACACAACAAATTGACAATCTGACAATAACCGAATAACCTAAACTTAATCAAGAATCAAGACAAGATTGTTTCTTTCTTTCTGTTTGTTTTTGTTTGTATTTTGTTTTCAAAGAGATTCTTAACTAAGGTTAACATTTAATTTAAACCATGCAGTTTCGCAGTTCTATTCATCAAGATTACAAAATGTATGTATGTAAATAAACGTATGTTTTCTGTTGGGATCCCTTCAAGTAGGTAACCTTTCAAACTGGTGAAGGGACCTACCTGCCCGATATTGAAATCGGTCAGGTTGGTTACTTTTCAATTTGGTGAGGTAATGAACGCCCTCTTGCTCTTGTGGTGGGGGCATCGACTGCTCTCATTGGCTGCAAGGTTTCTGGGGGAGGGAGTAGTTGTTATGGGGTGAACAGTGCTGCCAACCCAAAAGTCTGGAGCAATAAACATTCTCATACAAGGGTAATGTGGGTAATTCCGATATTTACGGCTACAAAGTAGGCAGTATAAATGCCGAAGGAAATTATATGTATAAAATATCTAGTTAGAACTTTTCATAGGTGAAATACTGTAAATAACAAAATACGATATTAAGTCCATCATCTTGCGAACCTGTTTATCTCCATGCCCCTGGGTCACTGCTAGGCTACTTTCTCTTGTAACTAAATCTACAGTATTAACGGGTCAGATTTTATTAATTAACTAGCTGTTGCCGTTTGCATCGCCTGACATACTTTTTCGTCTTTTATTCTTTACTATAAGCCTGCTGAAGTTGTCACTGACTTCGCTACGGAACGGAACTACCCTCTCTGGAACAACTGAATGATGTTTTTACCAAAAATACTAAAGTATTCATATCTCCTTTCATTCATAATCATACTCCAAGCCAAATTTTCCAATGGTACAGTTAGTTTTCTCTAACTTTATTGAAAAGTATTTCAGATAGTCTAAAGTAGGATTAAAAGTAACACAAAAACATTATTTTATTTAGTGATATACTGTATATATGATGTTCCCCGTTACTGACTCGGCATGCTCTTGATTTGATATTATTCTTGAATTTTGTTGTCCCTTCTGTACATTTAATAATTACTAGAGGGCCCATGCTACTCTACAACGTTGAAATGAAAATCATATTCGAGCAATAATCAAATTTATAAATTTGTATTGAGTATCTTGATCTTAACTGATTCAAACGATAAATAGCTCAAATTAAAACCTTTAATTAACTTACTATTTTGCGTCAAAAACATGAAAAAAACATAAACAATAGTGGACCTATTGATTTTTAATCATAGAAAACCCTTATAAAAAAAATAATTTATATGTTGGTTGTTCACATTGCAATTGCTTGTAGTCCGTCCGATTTGGATAACTAATTAATAGCTTAAATGAAAGCCGGCATTTCACTGAAGGTTCTTAGACCAAAATATGTAGGATTGTATAATTATAACTGGTGAAATGCATCTTAAATTGAAGTAAGAATTCGAAAAGGTGAAATATATGTTTTTTGGACGAGTAATACAGTAGATCAATATATATGCCGATGCTTAGAGTGAAATCTGTGCACACCTTCAATTTGAGACCTCAACCATGAAAATCGGTTAAATTTATTTTCAAATATAAGAAGATTGACTCTATTATTAACGTTTAACGAAAACTATCACCGTTTTACAACAAATTGTGTAGCAGTTCCGGTTAATGATAACAACCTATACTGAATTGAAGCTTTAGAATAGAATATTTCAAATGTTTACGGGAGCAAGCTCCTAAAATGTAATAATGTCGGTAGCTATACTTGCGATAGTACACTTGATAGGTTTTTAACAGCTTTTATTGATTTATGCATTATTATTATATAATAAATAATGCTATTTAATAAAATAAAAGATTGGTAATCATATGATTAAACGTACGGACACTGACTAGTTTTTAGGTGGCGGAACAAGCAAATTTTCACAGTTTTGAATGTAAACCTATTTTACTCGAAATAAGTTTGAGATAGAAAAACACTCTTGAAATACAAAAGTTGTGGATAGTTTAATTCTACACTACCGATCTTCCATAAGATTTAAGATCCAAGCATTGTAACTTATAAGTTACAGACCAAAATATAATATCTTGCATACTCGAATTTCTTCTGAAATAGATTTAATCCCCTAAACCACCCTTGAATTTAGAACTTTGCAAAACCCCCAAATTTGTACATCTACACCATATACATGGATTGTCGTCCCAATGCAAAATTTTATTATTCTAGGTCTTATATATGTTTTGAGATACATTATAGTGATCATTTGTCAGTGATATGCCAATCAATATAAAGGTAGGTCAATGGAAAGCATTTATCTACGTGGTGATCGGATGCATAGCAGCTTCAAAACGGATTCGTCACAAAATTCGTGTTTGCCTATTAAATATATTGGGTATCTATATTTAATATATAGATACCCAATATGCCTATAAACATTCAAACTTATGGGTCAATTTGCTGCACACAAAATCCAACAAAGTCTTTTAATAATATAGATACTTACTAGGTGGCGTTCGCAGAGGCATCCACAAAATTGAGCGGAGTTATCAAGGGTTCATATTATATTGTTTTTGTCATACTGCAGTAAAAACAGTAGTTTTTAATGCATGCGTTGCGGGTCTAAAGTAGCATTTTTATTCTCTAGGGAGTAAAAATCGTTTTTAGCCTCTATGGAGTAAAAATCAGTTGTTGCCAACTCAGTTGTAAATTTCGATTGTAAATGATTGCATGTATCGAAAATATGTATCGATTCGTGCTTCGTAATCATTTTAACCTACACAGTCTACAGTCTCTTCCCATAGAATTTTAGTATTGCAGATACATTAATAAATTCCCACACTCAACACTGCTCACCTTTACTACTTCCTTCACCACTTCCTACGTCGCGGACCTGTTTCCCTCCCTTCCCATAGCATCATGGGATTGCAAATAACTTAATCTAACGGTCATAATCAGTTCCTACACACCGGACTGCTCGCATTTACTACTTCCTTCACCCCTTCCTACGTCACGGACATGTTTCCCTCCCTTCCCAAAGAATTTTAGGATTGCAAATACCTTAATCTAATCGTCATAAACAGTTTCCACACTACGGACATCTCGCCTTGATTACTTCCTTCACCCCTTCCTACGTCGTGGACCTGTTTTCATCCCTTCCCACTTCCCATAGAATTTTAGGAATGCATATACCTTAATCTAATCGTCATGAAAAGTTTCCACACTCCAGACTGCTAACCTTTACTACTTCCTTCACCACTTCCTACGTCAAGTACCTGAAGCTAGTGTCGTCATTTGATTATATTTATGATCCATACAGTTTCTGTTCTAATATCTGTGGAATAATGCTATCAGCTATTTCTTTATTTGCTGCATTCAAAACAGCTGATCATATGTCTTTGTTTATGTGTCAAATACTGCTTCCATAAGGATTACATTGAAACTTTGAGACCCAGTGGGGCGGATTCCTGAGAGACTTTTTTAACGCCATATAGATGTTGGCACTCACCGATATGGTCTTTATCACCATGCAAAATTTGAAAACGATTGATTCAGCCGTCTAGGAGGAGTTTGCGTATTACGAAATGCATAAGAGTCGACGTATAAGAGCTTCGCTCGCTTCGCTCGCTCCGCTCAATAAGGTTAAGAAAACTCCAGAACCACTTAGGTGGAACCCAAAAGTCAGATCAGGATAAAAACTACTTAGTTTTCCTATTTAATGCCTGAATAATCAGTACACCAAATTTCAACGTTCTAGCTAGTCTGGAAGTTGGATTAGTAATGAATCATTGAGTGAGGGCTTTTACTTTTATATGTTAAGATTATTAGCTAAATATAACACATATGAAAGGTACAAAATAAAATCCATAAGTTAAATACAGTAGTAGAATATATAAAAACGGAGCTCCAGACAAAGCTGTCTTTAAAATTTGAAATAGGTGTTGCTGCAGACTTTTAATTTTATTCAGCGAGATTACGCCCCTGAATTTAGTGTTACTCCCTCAATATGACAACACTGTTGGATAAATCTAGCTCAGTGGGATAAATGCAGGGATGCAGCAGGCACTTGTAGAGCGAAATTTCCCACAATTTCCATGTAACCGTTTAACTGGTTTTCAGGTTATGTGACAAAATCCAAAACACAATTGAACATAGGATGCACAATAAATCGGATGTGTTTACTTTTGGGCTATTGACTTAATTATTACATCAAACAATTAAATGTATTCTGAACTTGTGTACCCGTTGCGAAATAGAGCGTACTATATTTAGCCGCCATACCCGTGCTTCGCCAAAGGAGCGCTAAAGAGAATAATTTATTGTTATGTTCCATAGATCTGTTGTATGAAAAATTAAATAACTCATAAAATAAATGCCTAACATTTGCATTTAAAGCATCAATCGAATTATTTTCAAAAACGTGTTTTATATCAACTAGACAGCTAGCTGTTATATCCACGGGCTTCACCCCGTTCCGTTTGACTTCATAAGTATTAACATTGAGTATTGTTAACACTATTGATTGGATAAGTTAAGTTAACTGATAATCATTTAGCGTTGAACTTACTAAACAACATCACAGATGCAATTTACGGACTTGAGAGGCCATCAATTCTGGACCTGCCCTTCAGATTTTTGTAAAGAGTTTTATCGAAAAATTTGTTGTTAACAGCTATTTTTAATGTTCAAAAGTTACTTTGTTGTATTGCATTGCATATTTATCATGAAAACATCAAAAGAAATTTACAGATATTTTTAGTTGTACATATTCTTTAAAGACATCAAGAGAGTTATCAAGATCCCTTAGTTCGCTGACGATATAAATCTGTTTGAGGAAAGTTGCTTCCCTCTATGATTATGAGTCATTTTGCCTTAGGCTTAATACTTTAATTTGAAATGGCAACCATACAAAGCAGGTATTTTAAGCCAAGTACCAGTATGCATGGAGATGAGTGTAGGATGGATGAGTGGCACGATTTTGTATCCTTGTTAGTGACTAAGGCCGACATATTCCTTAGACACAGCTGTCAATTAATAGCCCATACTTTGGGCTAATGGATAACTATAGGGACCTACAGTTTATAGTAGAATCCGAACCACATTTTTCCTTGGTATAAAAAAATTGGTCTAATTATC